ATTTGTAATATTTAACATATCTTGTTTGCTTGTGGGAATAATGTGGTATCCATGGCGATATTAATCTTGATGGTCCAGAATATATATAACAATGAGTTGTGGGCTCACATTTTGATTTTGCAGAACAGCGCCCCCATGGTTCACTAATCATACTTTCTTTGTTTTTATGCCAGATCCCTCGGCTCTGGGAACTAACTACCCGCCCAATGCATTGGATGGTGATGGACAAATCAAGGAAACTAATATTATGTCACATGACGGGAATATGTTTTTGGATCCTAATATGATTGCACAAAGGTAAGTTTTCTGTAGTTTCTTAGTTGAAAGTAAATTATTAGTGTTTGCTAATAATATAATTTTGTTAACCTTTTCACCACTACCTCTTTTTATCACAAAATAGTCCCGTTTATAGTCTGCACTTTCTTAGAGAAGATTGGGACAAATAAAGCCAAATTTTTTGAGTGAAAACTGAAAATTGACTCAGATTTTGTCTGTTGGCTCAAAAATAAAATTTCATTTCGAGAAATATTTAAAAATGTAAGAAAAAAAGGTGCAGACAAGAAGTGACATGACATGTTTTTGATTGTGATGTCATGATTGGTTAAAACCATGACAAAACAGTACAGTTATTTATGAAAATGTAGTGTATAGTCATCACTGAATATGAAGTTCACTGTTTGTAAATTTTCCACTCAATTTTCAGTATTTGTTACAGAAACATACTGAGTGGACATTTATTAGTTTTCTCCGAAATATAGATTTTCATATTTCGTTTGGTCTCTGTCTCATCCTTCAGCCTAAGTACACAAAATGCAAAGTGGTTTATTGTGTGCATATTGTAAGGCATAATACAAAGAAGTATTATATTTAATTTTTGTATGTAACTTAAGGTCAACTAAAATAGTAGTTGTTAATGCACTGTACAACTTAATATTTTTTTCTATCATTGCAGTAACATTCCAGAGTATGCAGAGGTGGGTTCGTTGCCACGGGAACTGCTAGACCACAAAAGTTTGAATGTGTGCGGAAAAGAACACAACATCACTCAACCATATGCGTCCACTACGCTAGTAATGCCGGCAAACATCAAAGACAATTTGGATAAAAATTATGGGAATGGAAATAATCTTGATAAACCATGGTTGCAACCTCCTTATTATGGGAGTAAAAAGAGGCATGATAAATCGATTGATACCGAGAATTCCGGCGATTCCTCGTCATGTACACTGCCGTCGCACCTCCGAATGCATGGCAAGTATTTACCTATTATGATAATGGAATATTACAATGACAATTATAATGCTTATTTTCATGGGGAGTGTCTTTCTGCTTCTGTAATATTTACATATGCCTATATATATTATTATTATTAAGTTATTTTTATAAGTCAGATCATACTATTGTTAATCATATTCATTTGTTGAATCATCATAAGGCTGTCAAGTTCAAAGATTCCTCACTTCACTCCACTCCACTCCATTTCATTACATTACATTAAAATGTCTACTTTTTAAAGTAATACTTGACTCATCCTTATTAGCTGCCCAACCATGTAAAATCCTAACTTGCCAATCAGGGAAAACCAATTTGAATAATAAATGTTTTATTATTATAATTAACATTAATTCATTATTATTTTTTACTAATTGTGTGCATTGTATTATAATTCTTTACTTATAGACTCAAGTGCCACTAGCCCCGTCAGTGATTCTGGCAGTTACACACAAGGTACTAATATAATGCTAACTCTGATTGGTTGTTTAAAAACTGCTTTTATTTGTGATTGGTTGGTTGCATACTGATCCTGTTGTGATTGGTTGTTTTAAAAACTGCTCTTATTTGTGACTGGTTGGTGCCATATTGTTCCTACTGTGATTGGTTGTTTAAAAACTGCATCATTTCCCATTATTCAGTCACTATTCTAGTGTGCACCCCTGTCATATGTAGTTGGACTAACTCTACTATTTCACACATTAAAATTGTTCTTATTGATTGGTTGATGCAAAAAAACTATTCTTGACATATGATTGGCCGGTGAAAAGTTTTTGTTAATGTGTGATTGGTTGATCAGAAGTGATTAATGTTTGTTACTTTGTAGTCTGTGTTTGGTTGAGAATGAGAATGTAGCATAAATGTGTGTGGCTCTATGATCTTGCATTGTTTTATGTTAGTATTGTCAGTTGAGATTGGTCGTTGTGATATCCTGAGAAACAACTGATCATTGCTATAGTTACCATCTTATAAATTTGAATATACATGTATATAACAAACAAATTTAAAATTTCAGATTCCAGTGGAAGTGGAAGAAGA